AATGTTTTACAAAAGGTGTTTGTCTTTTTGAAAAGATGTTTCAAGGTTTTTTTGAAAGTTTGTTTTGAAAGTGTTTGTGAAGTGTGGTTTGAAAAATAGGCAAGTGTTTTTGTTTTGCAAATTGACAAGTACTTAAGAGCTATCTACCCTAAAGTTCTCAAAGATTTTTGCTATGTTTCAACCCTTTTAACAATTTTGTTCCACCATTGCATTTGGTGGACAATCTTGTGTTAGGATGTGAAAGGGACGGGCGCGGGTCATCGTTTAGACCATAATTGCAATGGTGCCAAGTATCTTTGGGCAATTTTCCTTTAAGGGACTTGATCATTTTTTAGGCAACTTTCGAAAGCGTCATCGAGGGACTATGATCATTTGATTGTTTTGTTTTGCCCAAAGAGACCTAACATGCAATATGGCCCATTATTGAAGGCAACAAGTGGAATACCCTAGGGGTGCAAGTGTGGTTAGTGTTGTCCATTTTCATGCTTGATTATCTTGAAATTAGGTCAAACTATTTTTGTTGTTTTTATTTGCATACAAACCCTAATTCTAACATGGTATATTTAGAAAGCAATAAAGTGCGAAATTTAAAGTTCCTAAGCTATTACAACACAATATGGGAAGGGGGGTACAAATGTTCAAATGGGGGGTATTTGACAAGGAATTTAAACCTAGCTATTACATCAATTTGGAATTATTTACAAGATATTTAATTGCACAAATTAAATGGAAATAAAATAGATATGCAAGATGCAAAAAGATGTTTTTATGTGTATGAAAAAGAGTATTTTTATGTCAAATAAACAAAAATAAAAAGTATTATTTTTTGGAGTTTTTATGTATTTAGGGCAAAACCCTAATTTCTTAAATAAAAGTATTAATTATTTAATATGTACCATATTTATTTATTATATACAAAAATAAAATAAAAATGAAGTATATTATGACAAAGTGATTTTTGAGGTCAAATATTAATAAAATAAAAAATGTATTATTTTCATGTTTTTATCCTAAATATTGTAATAAATAAATAAGCATTTATATTATATATCAAATATATTAAATATATACAAAAAAAATAAAAATAAAATATTTATTATTTATAAAAAAAAAGTGTATTTTAAGAAAATGTTTTCAAAAGATGAAATAAAATAAAATCAGAAAAAATAAATGTATTTACATTATTTTTTAGTATTTTAAAAAAGAAGTAATATATTTATTTATGTACAAAATATCCATTTAAACAAATAAATGCTTAATAAATACAAAAATGGTCTGAAAAATATTTTTTTTATATTTTTAATATTATGAGAAAAAATAAATAAGTCAGAACAAAAAAGAAAAAGTCAAAAAATCATAAAAATAAGCTCAATGGGCCTAGGGGGTGTAAAAGCAAACAAGTGGTGTAAACAGAAATAACAACACAGGCCCAACCCACGTGGAGCTTCTTCAACCTCCAGCCATTCTTGTTCAAAAAACGCGCGTTTTTTACCCTGATTCAAACATCCTGATTCCTGGCTTTTTAATGAAAACTCACAACATCAAAAATGTTCAGCATCAAACAACGAATCCATACATACCAAAAACTTGATCTAACTCTAAAAAATGAGAGAGAATTTCTCCATTCCCAAATCTTAACCTAATTTTTTATCAATGTTCAGACATCAAATTCTCATGGCACACGTAACATAAATGAAAACTAACTACATGGGCATGTTCAGGGCTATGAATGTGACATATTTTCTTCACAAACCTAAAGCTAACAATGCCTGGATAGAGAGATACGAGTTCATGAGCTTACCTGTTCAGTTGAAGTTGTATCTGGTGATGGAGGTACTTTCAGTGCAAGGTGATGATTGGTACAGCTTCCTTGATGTCCAAGGATGCTATTCCAAGTTTTACTTTGCTTTGAAACTAGCTGAATCGAGTTATAGAACTCCACCTGCAAATAAAAAAAATGAAAATGGCCAAACTGATTAGAGGAGTTACGGTCCACTTCTAATGCTTTGGATAGTTTGCATTGATGGTAGGGAAGGTGTTTGAACTGGTTTGGGCAAGAATGCACGATGGAAATGAGTTGTGGGATTCAATCTGCAGCAGGTGCTCTGTTTGAACAGTTTGAGGGTGATTCTGTGTTTGAGAGGGCAATGGAGGTGGATAGCTCGTGTTTCAGCTTGTGTTTGATGTTTGGAATGTGTGTAACAAGTTTGCTTAAGGTTGGTTTACAGGAAAATGAGAGTTGTTGTGTTATGCAATGTTTCTTCACACTTAAGCAATAGATGGCCACTTGAGTTTCTAGGCTGATAGAGGTCCCCAATCTATGCTGCATACCTTGGCCTTGATCAGTGCAATTAGTCCATAAACTTGTGCCAAAGAGATTTGAACTGTACCACTTGGATTGCAAATTTGACATAAAGTGCAACTTTATCAAAATGGATATATTGCTTTTTCTAAAAATGGATTAAACCTTTATGCAATGCTTGAACACATAGAATATGGTCTTGGCACAAAGAGTTTGCATTAAATTTATGAGTGTAAAAGATATTTAGGGCCTGTAATCAAGAAATGCATGCTGATTTGAAAATTGCCTAAGTGTATGAACATGGAAATTGGCCATAACAAAAGTGAGTTTTTCCCATATTGCAAAATTCGATTCTCTCAAACCATGAGGTTGTTTGATGAGTTCTTGGACATTTTGGAAAGCTTGGAATGTGTACTACAATCCATCTTTGAAATGCAAATTGAAATTCCAAATGGAAGTATATGAAAAATGGTCTTGAAGTTAGGTAAAAACCTTGCCTAAAATAGGTCAAATTTTCTCTAAGTTAAGAATGGTTTGGTACCCTTGTTCCAAAAATTGTAACTTGAGATACAAGCTTCTTTTGGGAAAACTTTGTGAATCAAAGTTGTATATTTTGCAATAGGCTACAACTTTCATGTCTTGACTTTTGCTTGAATCCAAATGAATCTTGGTGAAAAAGTGGGGCAAAGTTAGGAAAAAATTAGGGTTTTTCATAACTTAGAAAAATTCTAAGTTATGAAAAATCTTCATTTCAAACCCTAATTTGCAATTCTTGATTTCTTGATGAACAAGTTTCATGATTTGGCATGTTTTGATGAAAAATGAATCTTGACACTTGATTTTGACCAAAAAGTCAAAGTTTGACTTTTCAATATACAGTCAAAATTGATCAATTGACTGGGAAATTCAACTGTCAATCTTGTGTATTTGGGATCTTTTGAACTTGTTGAGCATGTCAAGATAATTCCATGGTGTCCTTAAGTCCATATGTGAGCTTGGTTTTGCCATTGGCTAGGCCAAACAGTCAAAAATTGCCTTTGTGCAGTCAAAACCCTAAAAATGACCATTTTGCCCTTTTGGTGATCTGATCAAATTTCTTGTGGAATTGTGATCCAAACTTGATCAAATGGTCCATGTGAGTTTATAATGTTGATGTGGGTCAATTTTTATGAGATTTGACTGTCAATTGGCTACAGTTGACTTTTTCCCCAATACAGCTGATTTCTAGGTCAACTGTCCAATTGACTGGGCAAAATTTGGAATCAAGACTTGAAACTTGATGTGGATAAACTTGGGAGTCCAATGTGAAGCATGAAAGTCATCTTAGGCATTTTAGGTCAAAACATCTTTGTGCAAACACAAACCCTAATTTGGGTCAACAGTGCAAGGAGGAGTCTTGAGCAGATGAAACCCTAACTGGATCTTGAGCTCCAAGGGCTTTGATGAGAAAATATTGAGAAAATGGGAGGGCAAATTTTGGGGTACAACACATGTCAAGCAATTTGGATAAGATTTGTACTTGAAGAAATGAAGGTCGAAGTGAAGAAACCTCTTGTATTGCAAATTGGCTACAAGCCAGCCATAAATCTGACAAAGAATCCAATTCTACATGGAAGAAGTAAACATATTGAAGTAAAGTTTCACTTTTTGAGGGAAAAAATAAATCAAAGTGAACTTGAAGTAAGATATTGCTCGAGTGAAGCACGGTTGGCCGACATTTTCACCAAAGGATTGAAGATTGGCAAATTCCTGAATTTGAGAAAGAAATTAGGAATAATTCAGATTGACTATTTTTGAAGATGTTCGACAACTTAGATTATGGGAGTATGTTGAAATATTAAATTAGATTTGTTAACATATTAGATTTGTTAAAATAATAGATTTGATTAGATTTAATATTTAAACATAATTCAAGTTGTGTAGATTCAAACCTAATTATGATTGTATAGAAATAGTCTTATTTTGTATCATTATTTGTACAATTCAATAATATAAATCTTTATTTCCTTTATTATTCTCTCTTTCTCTCCTCACTAAAGTGCTTCACGCACTAACACTATTATGTACCCAAACTAAGAGAGCTTCATTTCTGATCTCGTATGTTAACGTCAAGGTTCATTTTGGTCTCTTAACTTAAAAAAAGATTCATATTGGTCTCTTAATTCTTCAAAACGCTTCATTTTAATCCTTTTTATTTAATTAGCGAGGAAAAAACTCAGAAATCAGTCATTAAATTCGTCGCTAATTAGACAAGACTAAAACGAAACGTTTTGAAGAGTTAAGGAACTAATATAAACATTTTTTTTAAGTTAAAGAACCAAAATGAACCTTTACATTAACATACATGACCAAAAAAAATATTTTATCTACTATTTATTAGCCGGTGGAAAATCCATCTTCGTCCAAAGCATAGCAAAAAAAGCCAAACCAAAAATGAAAATAAAGGAATGAAGAAAAGAGTAGCAAAAAGTTCCAAAAAAGAGGGAATTAACATCATGTTAAGAACATATATGATCAGCACTCAGCAGTATCAAATTATTTAGCACATCAAAATTTAGTTAAGTAATACAAATTCCACTCAACTGGCCATAGTAAGGGCTGAAAACAACCAACAATATAGGTTGGCTACTCGGAAAATTAACATTGGATTGATATTTTGACAGACAATAAGAAATGACTTGGTTCCTGAAGTATGCATTTAGGTGATGACTGTGGGGGCAGATCGGCCGGTGAATGCCTCCATCTTTGAAAGTTTCAATGCAGCATCCACCTGTTATTAAGATAATTCAACTAGTTAGAACAATTGCAATCTTGGCAATGAAATTTATATTTCAACTATTATAAGCAGCTTACAAGAGGAGCAAGTGCTTCATGTGAAAGTCTCCCAATCTTTGATGGATCCTTCTCATATTGCTCGATATATAGTCGAATGGTTGCCCCTTCTGATCCAGTTCCAGAGAGACGGAAGATCTGGGGAATTAAAGCGAAAGAAGAAATCCAAATAGTTAGGAGGTAAGTATGAAAAAGTGAATACATCCATGGAAACAAAAAAAAAATCCACATTAAATTCGTAGCACTTGGAAAAGATGAACTGAAATTAACAATTATTTGTTAAATCCATAGCACTTGAAAAAGATGAACTGAAATTAACAACTATTTGTTAGACAAAATGCATTTTCAAATCTGGTCCACATGCATTTTCTATCCCAATAACCTAGTAACACATAATCAGTAATCTTTTCATCAAAAAGAGAATAATAATAAGTAAACTTACCAATCGGGATCCGTCCTCAAACAAATATCGGATGCCCTGGTGTGATGAAATGGAACCATCCACAGGATCATTGTATTCAAATTCATCACCGTGGACAACCTTTGAAACATCTGAACTTGCCCCCTTAATAATCCTAAAAAGACAGTAAATAATATCCATTAGATTTATGATGAGTGAAACCTTAAATTCAACCCACCATCTAATTACTCCGACACATTCTTGTATATGGTAACTCATACAGGTTTGTCATACCAATTCCATCAACTATTCTCGTATATGACTCATACAGGTTTGTCATACCAATTCCATCAACTAATTAGTTTTGAACTTAATTCTAAATAATTACAAAACTATTATCAAATTGGCCCTCCAATGAAAAATAGACCATCACCAAAACCGTCTGATGTATGTGGCCACCTAGGCACCGAGGCAAGACAGAAAAGAGATTCAGCACTGGAGGATGGCACATTCAAAGTGGCAGCTCTGGAGTTGTGAGTAATGGAAAACACCAATGGTATTTTTATTCAGAAAGTGCTAGTTACCTAGATTCTTTGCATAGTGAGTTTTATGTTTCATTTTAGGTCATGATTCCTAGAGAAGTCTGCCCGATGTTAGCAAGGATTTTGTTCTATGATTGCTCAAGTTTTTGGTTAATGAATAATCAGTTCTATGTGTTCTCTATTTGTAAAATCTTATTTGATGCTCTTCTTTAACGCCTCTAATTAAAAAGTAACAAGCTAGCATAGGTTTGCTCTCACTGGTAGAGTATTTAGAAGTACAATAAGTACCATAAGGATAAGAAAGCCCTTCTAAATAGCCATGAGGGATCACTATTCTGATGTAGAAGTCAATTTCTACTTTCTAAACATCAATTGCTTGGAGAATGTCAAGTATTGGTCAGACTTGAAAAGCTTTTACGGCATCGCGAGGAAAACATATTGTAAGCAATCTCAAAGCTTAAGTAATGTTGAGTATTGATATTAACATACTCATTGACTTCTGAGAGTGAGGACTGCAGTTTGACCAAATGTGCCATCAGTTCCTTAGCTGCACCTGCATCCACATTCTTTAAGGGGGTGGGTATTGATTAGGTTAACTGATTTTCAGAAGGAATTGTACTAAAGTAGGATAAAATAAAATGTAACTGAAGCATACTTCATAGTCATATCGAGTATAGTAGTGGCGTCCATAAGTAGCCCAATGCTGGCGAACAATGTCTTCAACTGTTACAAGCTTGCTTTCAAGATTATCTTTGTTTTTATATGCAAGTATGGATAGCCAGGCCAAAACTGCCCAGATTCCATCCTTCTCACGAATGTGGTCCGAACCTATTCATAAACACAACAACGATCACAAGATAATACAATGTTTGAGTAAGTTAAAAAGATTGTAGTTTGCTCTTCTTAATGCAGTAGCAATAGCATACCAGTCCCAAAACTTTCTTCACCGCAAACTGAACACAATCCAGCATCCATTAAATTGCCAAAGAATTTCCAACCCGTGGGAACCTGGCTTTGAATAATAAATCAAATAACTGTCTATAGCAACTAGTTATCATTTTCACAGTTCAAGGAATAGAAATAGTTTACCTCAAAAAACTTCAAATTCAGATGTTTGGCTACAACATCCAGGGCAGCAGAGGTTGGCATGCTCCTACAAAACATTTACAGCTATAGTTGGTATACATTGGTAAAAATAATGCCGAGAAGTCAAGTTTCATAAGATTAAATTGCTAGGAAATAATCTCAAGAACCAATGGCAAATAAAGGACTCTGGGCCGCCGGGGCGAGAAATACTGCTGTCCATTACACCATTAAAAAAAAAACCTTGTCCATTATCAGGAGTTATAAATATATGTATTAAATTCAATGGAGTTCCTTCCTATTTCATTGTCCTACTATAAACACATATGATAACCCCTTTAGCAGCAACTATCTAGACAATTACAAGATTATTACCAACTATTACAAGTATAAGCATTCCACTACTGCATTTCACATGATCACAATGTGTTGTTATATGCTTGCACACACAAACACACTGAAGTATGTGTGTGCATGTGTGGGTCAGAGAGACAGAGAAGCTAAAAACTTGAAAATATGATGAAAACCTGGCAACTCCCTTTAAGCCAGCAGAAAAGTATGGAATTGCTTCAACAGCATTTGCAGCAATAATGGCCACAGAATCCGAAGGAGTGACAAAAAACCTAACACAAAAGAAAAGTATAAGTAAAAAATAAAATAAAAATAGAAAAGATTTAATCTTATCACAAGTTGAGCTCTACTACCTTTTACCAAGAACCATGTTGCGATCTGCATCACCATCAGCAGCAGCACCAAACTCTGGGACCTCACCTTCTGGTTCTGATTTTCCCAATCCCATACGAGCAACCAGCTCTTTTGCATATGTCAAATTAGGGTCCGGGTGTCCCCCTCCAAAGTCTTCCTGTATCCAAGAAAGTCATCCACGAATCAAAAGTTGGCAGGCATTGCTAAATATTTCAGACCACTCAAAGCTTATCATTGATGTAATCCATATGCGAATAAAGACCTTTGGTACACAGTTTATCAAAGAGCTTTCTTGTGCCCCAAGCTCATCCACAAAAATACTTTTTGCATAAGCTCCAGCAACTCCATGTAATGCATCATAACTTCAATATAGTTACAGAAATTTACCATTATGTTTTGGAAAGAAAAAAAGGGAAAAAATTAAGATTATTCTATATCACAAAATTTAAAACAGCATTCGCAAAAGATACCAGAAACTGAATTTAGGAGATGTCAGCAGTTTCCTGATAGATTCAAAGTCAAAAATTGACCTGCAAAATATCAACTAAGGGATAAGAGAGAATTGAGTTGGTAGAAGCACATAGCTAGATAGAATGTTTGACTATCATATGAAAACCAAATTCATACTTTCCAAAAACAACTGTCTTAAAAGTGACTCTAAACTGAACAAACAAAATGAAGGTGAGAAAACTTATTAAAACAAATTTTTGCAGCATGACCAATTTAAGAACATTTTATTCCTTTAACAGTCCAATTGTCTAGGTTAAGTGGTGTGGTGACATAACATGATTAAATCCATTTCCAGAAAGCTTTTTTTGTATAAATGAAGAGTGCAATAGTATGTCAATTCTGTAAAATATCTCACTTCATCAACTTTATATAATCGCTTGCTGAATCAAAAACCTCAACATCAAATGGTCCTTCAGGCCCTGTAAAGTTTGTGACACCTACTGTGGTGATATCCACCTGGGAAAACAAATTGATGATTGGGAACAAGGTTTAGGTAGACGAACCACATAAAAATTTTAGTTAGATAAATAGAGATAAGGGAAAATCTGTAACCAGGTTGTGAGCAGTACATTTGGCAGATCTGGAGCAATCAAGTACTCCTTGATTGTTGTGGTGTTCTCGTAGATTTTGTTAGTAATTCCTTCGGGTGCAGGTCCACCATTTTCCATGTTATATTTAATCCCAAAGTCCTGCATAATGGAAACCAATTGATAGTAACAATCACTTAGAGTTGGTTTTCTATGCAACAATGTCTGAGTATAATAGTATAATAGTATAATACCATACAAGAAACTTACATCTGAATAAGTAGCTGATTCTATTCAATTAACCTAGCCTAACATCCATCTACTCTACACATTCACTTTTGAAAATATTCATCTTACTAAGTTACTTTATGTGAAAAAGGAGCCATAACATAAAGATTGAAGTTGCAGCTGTATGACTTGGAGATCACAGGTTTGAGTTATGGAATTAGTCATTCTTCCAAATGAAAAGTAATGCTAGAAGCATTGTTGTCAGAATCACGATTAGAATCGTGAAATCCATGGATTTTGCGATTTTGCTCACCCTAAACGATCTAAATCGTGAGTAGAATCCTAATTCAAAGCAAAATCCCAATAAAATCGCACAAAATCGCTAAATCGTAGCAAAATCCGCAATCTCATATGGATTCCACCGATTTTGGGCTATTTTTTTGGGTAATTTTAGAATGGGTAAAGATGACCTGTTTCAGTTTTGTGATCTAAGTAGATGGCGCATTAGTGATCTAATTTAGCATCTAGGCTTTAAGTATTTTTGTTTTATATTTAAGATTTGAGACTTGGTTGTTTTATTATGAGTTGAATCCATCGATTTTGGTTGCGATTTTCGATTATGCGATCTTGATTTCCCCTTTCGATTCAACAAACGATTTGAGTAGAATCCACCGATTTTGGTTGCGATTTACGATTTTTCGATCTTACTATCCTCTTTCGATTCAAAGTAAACTCTCGATTTTGACAACCTTGGCTAGAAGGCTACTTACATTAGACCCGCAATGGGTCCAATGGTTTCTTAAACCCATCATGGCTGGAGCTTTATAACACTAAGTTCACCTTTCATTAACTTCAGGTTATGTCTTATTGATATCCACAAGAAATTGTTATTTCATATGTTCAGCTTCAGCAACGTTTACAAATACTCAAAACTGAAATGTGATTCACCGCGGTAGAAAGCTATCTGCCTTTTTGTTTTTTGTTTTGGGGGAGGGACTGAGTAATTGCTTTTGTGGGCACATAAACACAAGATTTCAACGTCGGACTAAATCAAGCTTAGCACTCAAATCTTCCATTTACCACTTAAAAAAGAATATCGTTTCACTGTAAGTTTTCCCACCTGTTTCTTACTATTTGGTCCTAACATTCCACTCAGAACCAGTCAGACCATTCTAAACAAACAGTTGTCATCTAAGGCCCAACAGCTGCCTCGGCATGTTGAAAGTTTAAGGAGAATTTGAAAAGAGTAAACAGGTAATATCCTTTATCCAAAAGCTACAAATGAAGGAAGAATACAAATGTTTTATCATGTAATTCCATGATCCAAGGAAATTACATCCAAGAAATGTAAGTCAATCTCAAATATTTAGGTGGATTACCTATCAGCTAAATTTCAGACACCTTGGTTCAAACTTCAGAAATAGTGCGTGAGACTCACATTAAATCCCTATACCAGATATTATCATAATCACTGATAAAATGAATTCCTCCATAAATGATTGAGCAAAACATGGCAGTACTCACCTCATTAGGACCTCCAGGGTTGTGACTTGCTGTCAGTATAAATGCTCCTGTTGCCTTGGATCCCTGTAAATAACATATATTTTTATCCACTGCTTTTCTTTAATTCAGGAGAAAAATTGTTACCTAGGCTAAAAAACATGGACTTCCTTGGATAAAACCAACAAAAATCTCTTTTCAAAGAGAAAGGAAGAATGAAGAGAAGTAAATTACAGAAGACATTACTTACGTCAACCCCAACTCTTTCACGAATAACAGCAGATACTGCAGGAGTTGAAAGCAACCCATTTTGACCAATCCAAATACGTCTTACTCCATTCGCTGCTGCCATTTTAGTTATAATCTACAGATTTATCAAAATCATTAATGATGTACTACTTAATATTATATTGCTTTTAAAAAGATATAGTATACATGTGATGTACATCAAGTTACCTATATCCCCTCATACAAGAAAGTCACTATCGAAAAGATGCATAAACCAGTAGTGTAGTAAGCTTAAGACACATGTTTTTTTCAGGAGAACTGAATTTTGAAGCTGGAAATTAATAATTTGGTTTCTGTCTCCTTGTTATTATAATCTTTTGTACTTAATAGTTTAACTAAAAGTGACAGCCATTTCAAAGTCCGAAACAATAAATTATAACCAAAAGACCAGAAGTTGTGAAACTAGATTAGTCAAAAATGCCTGCCTGATTTGTGTATTGAAAGTACTAATCAACTTAAACCCAAGAAGCTAAAGCAACAACATCAAATAAATCTACCAAGGCATCAAAGCAATGCAAATGTCAAGTTTTGCAAAGAGATGGTATCAATTCACCAGCACTGAATAGCATAATTGATAAACCAAATTCTTTAAACACAAAGAAGTTCACATTAGAAGGAAACAACAGCATATATGTTAAAAGTACCTGAATCGCTTGCTCCGAATAATAACGACCATCACCAGATACAACTAGTGTTGCACCTACAAATATGGAAGATAGAGTTATCAAAACCGACATTGCAGTATAATTCAAACTCAAAAGGAAACAGTTTTAAAAAACAACATATAAAGATATGGATTTATGTTGGAAAACAAGATATGCTGAATGCTGGTTTTTTCTGTTAGGATTTAAAAAAAGAGATATTAATTTCATTATGGTGAGAATGAATAATGCCGCAAAACAAACGTAGATGAACACCAACCTCTAACTTTTTCTTCAGTTAATGCATTGAATGATGCCTGAACAAAGTTTTCAAGGTAATGAGGTTGCACAAATACTTTCACCTGTAAAGATCCAGCCAATAATACATAATCAGACAGCACAATGAATAATCAACAATCCAATACATGTGAAACTGATCTCGCAACAAGTAAAACATTCAGATTCACATTACAATGCGATTCCAACAAGTAATCATAAAATAAAATAATAAAAAAAGAAATTGAATAGAAGCATCAATGGAATCTATGTGAAACCGATCTTGATCTTGCAACACATAATTAATTTAGAATTAAATTCAAATTACAATGTGATTGAATGAGTAATCATAAATCAAATTTCTCGATCATTAATTGCTGAAAACGAATACGAAATGCGAACATGCAAACTCTTAACATATCATATATCTTAGTTCTTTCTGATCCAGTCACAATTCATACAAAGCGTAAAAATCAGATGCAGGTAACAATAGAAACAACACGATCGAAACAGTTCGATTGATAAGATCTAATTTCAAATACGATCCAGCACTATAATCATCAGATCAGAAAAAACAAATCCAATAACAATAAAAACAAAACGAATTGAGGAAACGATGAAATGAGTTAAAGAGAAATGGAATCACCTTTTTGCGGAGACCAGAGGTTCCAGGCTTCTGTCCATCGAAGGGAGTAGTTTGAATGCGTGAAACATTGAAGAGCACCATTGTTACCTGATCAAAGAAAAACGAAATCCAGAAATTTCAGATTTCAGAGAGAGAGAGAGAGAAGAAGAAGAAGAAGGAGTGTACCTTATGAGTGTGTGATGAGAAAGGTTCGGGAAGAAAATATAAAATTTGTGATTATGTTTGTGAGACGGGGAATTTAAAGGCCTTGTTTAACGCTGGTTTCGGAACTTTGTATTCTAGTAGTATCACCTTTTATTTAAGGGAAAAACTGACATTTAATAAATTATTTATACATGTTGTTTTAAAATGTGTTTATTTAATGTTTTGAAATCTTAAATATAACTTTATTATATTTAATTATATTTAAATTTTTCATATTAATATTTTAACATGTGTTTGTAGAATACATGTTAAGGTGATCTATGTTAACATGACCTTTTATTTAAACCACGGGTTGAGAATTAATTTATTAATAATTAGATAATGCAATTCAAAATGGGAAATAGAAAGAATGGTAGTGAACTCAATTGCTTTTCTTTTGCAAACTTGGTTTGCTTTCTCCGTGGCAATTTTTTCAAAACTTAAAATAATAGTTTAAAAAAGTTTTTAAAATTTATTATCTATTATAAATATAAATAAATATATAAAAAGTAAAATATTTGATAATTATATTGTAAGTCCTCTCGTTAAAAAGTTAAATTTAATTTAATTATAAAAATAAAATTGTCTAATTGCACGATACTTATTTTATATTGATTTGGCATTAAATATCGTTGAAGTGGCATGTCCAGGATTATTGTTGTATTTTATTTTATTTTTACATTTGTTAATTATTTCTTAGCATTTATAACTTATTTTATTACATACTATTTAATTATTTTCACTAAACTCTAAATTGAAAATATTATTTACATACTGACCTTTTATCTACTCGTCTTGGAAACTTTTCAATTTATCTCTAAACTCTACAATATTCGTAATTTGCTTTGAAACAATCTCAATTTTTCCAATTCATCTATTCTCCTCACATTCTTCTATAAAACATGACAGTAAGATCATTCCTCTATACTGCATCTACCTCTATTTCTTTTCTTTACGACACTCCATCTTCATTCACTCTTCTTTCGAAAACTGACCTAAATCAAAAAGTAAAAAATACAAACCCTCATGAAATAATAAAGTAGGTGGATTCATTTTCTCTTTGTTTCTTTTTATGTTCTTTCTTGTTTTCAAAAATGGTGGATTCCTCTTCCTTGCAGGTTGTTGAATTGTGGTTCGTGAAACATGGTAAGATTTATAATGTTTTGGGTGAGAAAAAAAGTAGATTTTAAATTTTCAAAGATAATATGCGGTTCATAGAAACTTAACAGTTTGGAGGATCAAATCTACAAGTTAGGTCTCACGAAGTTTACTGATCTCACCAATGAAGAATATCATTCCATGTTTTTGGGTACAAAACCTAGAAAATCCAAAGGGTTTTCATTTAGGTCGAAGAAGAGTAATCGTTATGCTTTTGGTGATAACGATGAATTGTCAAAATCTATTGATTGGAGGGAGAAAGGTGTTGTTAATCAGACCAAAGATCAAGGCTGGTGTGATGAGTTTTTTGAGTTGAATTAATGTTGTTGTGTCTTGAATTTTCATTGTGAATGAATGTTATGAAATGTTTTTGTGATTCGTGAAGGGGTAGTCATCAGATGCCAATTCATTCCCTTTTTAAAATTTGTTTTGAAATGTTTTTGTGATTTGTGAATGGATAGTCATCTATTTTGAAATGTTTTTGTGATTCGTGAATGAGTGTTATGAAATATTTTTTTTCTGTCTTGAATTGATGTTATGAATTTCCAAGTATTTTGAAATCAGATGCTAATTCATTCCCTATCTAAAATTTGTTTTTTAGTTTTCAAATTCTGATATGGATAGACATCACCTGCAGATGGTTTACAACTCTATGATAGAAAAAAAATAAACATAAAAAAATGAAGAAATTTGAAAATGTTCTTTTACTTATGGTAGTGATAAATAAACATTTGATGAAGAAGCAAATTAGATTCTTTAAGAAAAAGTCAATTCATATCCTTCTCTACTTAGATGTATTTAAAGATATTCGATTTGCGGTAATTTTTCACTCTTTAATTTTGAAAATCTTATATAATATATTTGTCATTCATTCGGTTTACTACGATATACATTCAGACCGAATTCTTTTATGATTCAGTATATGTTGTTGGGAATTTCTTATGGTGTAACTTATTTCTTAGATTGATTTCTGATGGAAATTGTTATGTATCCAATGTAGGACCATCTGGTGCATCACTACATTCACTTCCCATAGCAGTTTGTGATCATGGGAGGGATGAAAGCATTAGTGTTGTAGATGTTAGAATTCATGATTATATCAGTAGTCTCCGATTTTCTATCTCAAACCTCATTTTTTCATGTTGGAAGGAAAATTGTTGTTTCATACTGGTTTCGACAGTATTTATTTTCCCAAAATATAAAGTTTACAGTCTATCATTATAGGTTAACACACTTGTTGCCGAGAATTTATACTACCTTGCTGGAGATTAGGCATGCTTAGGTCTTGATACATTGCTATTTGATATATATTGTGAGACATGAGCAATTGGCCAGACATTAGCACATCGTGTTGCAATCGTAATAGTCACCATATAATGTTCTTTATTCTTGCCTTCAAACGGCTTCTTAGCTTGCAAATCTTTAGAAAAACAAATATTTGCATTAAGAATATGAATGTTGATCAATTAATGCAATTAATATTGACAGCTGACTACTCCAACTGCACATTAATAGTAATTTATTATTTTTAATATAATAAATTTGTCAACAAATGTATCTTTTAGCCTATTCGAAAATGAAAAAGTTCATAAATTCATTCTTTGTAAAAATTGTAAATATGATATAATAAGAAGTATTTAAAACTAATATTTGATGGGAAGCTGTCATAAATTTTAGATTTGAAAAAACTGACTAATATCTAAAATGTAATGTTATTTGAATTTTAAAAATGATTTTATTCTTTTCTGTAGTCTTAAAATTAACTCATCCAGATTCAACTGAGTTTTGTTAAATCATCTGGATTCACGGGTAGATGTGCATGTATCTATGAGATAACAGCTGTAGAGTGGTCATTTTAATGTCTGTCTTTTAACTATTTCTTTTGTTGATGTTATATATAATTGAAGTTATAAAAATGGTTGTATGGTTTATTATAAATACGAATAAATGCTTAAAAGTTGGTAGTGAAAAACATGTAATGTGAATTTTGGTTCAAAATACTATTTTGTTTAAAATAGGTTGAATTTTGATTGGATTACCGATTGATCAGAACTTGAAGTGGGCCAGAGACTTCAACTTCAACGTTGGAATCAAGGAGGAGGGGGTGTACATGCAAGACACTTTGATGCTAAAGTTAGTAGGAGCACAAAGATATAAAAGCAAGATATTAGGATTTTAGTAATGAATATTGGATATCTGACCCTCACATGTGTGAGGGTTTATATAATGCCCTCGACGCTTGGTCATTGGTCCCTATTTTTGAGCTTAGATATGCTGGTCTGCAAAAATAGGTAACTGTCAGGACTTGGTCAAAATATGCAGCCAAGCCCGTAAATAGTTGTTACATCGAGCAAGGATGATATGACAGGAAGAATCGTTTATGAGTGTTTCCTAGGTGGAAGCTCTACGTGTGTCGAGCAGACCTGGGAGGAAGTTAGTTGTTATGACGAGCAAAGAGGTGCTCACGGGCAAAAATGATTTTGGCCATTTCTGGATGGCTGTCCTCGTGTGACTGGCAGGATGAGGACTAGCTTGTTTGAGCGGGAAGATATGGTCTTGTTGGTTATTGGGGGACAACCGACCACGTGTCCCCGATTGAGGGGTAGAAGTGTTGTTACTGGCAGCGGTGGTCTTGTTGGTCATGGGGGGACAACCGACCATGTGTCCCCGGCTGAGGGGCATAAGTGTTGTTGTGGGAAAAGGTGATGTTGAGGGCAGCTATTGGAAGCGGTGTAGCGGCAAGCGATAAAATTTTTGGAAATATTTATCTGGGAATTTATCGTGTCCACAGAAATTAGTTATTGAATTGTCGTTCGACAAATCATTCGTTAATGAGCTTGGGGATTGAATTGGCTTGTAAAGAAAATGTTGTCAACAGAAAATAAATGTAAACAAAAGAAAAAAAATAAGGAAGAACTTATCAAGCCTGCATATAATCTACTCATCACAGACTTAAATCTATCGACCAGTTACATTCAACCTAACAATACTCATCAATGTCACTACGTATCACTCACAACCTAAGTCATTTCTAACCCAAATTGAGAGACCAACTATATCACCGAGGAAATGATCTCTCTACCTCCTCAACAACACATAAGAAAAATCATGTAATCGCACTGACGATCTCTCAGTATAACACAACCACACAAAGGCATTAAGCTCTGATACTCAAGTAGATGTCAACTTTAAATCTATCTCTAGAGTTTAGAAACTAACAGATAATCATCCTAAATAAGAATCTAAGCAGTATATGTCTACAACAACTCAAATCCCTAGCACAGAGAAAAAATCCAAGACAACAATTGACAAAGATTTATAAAGCAAGTTTAATATAACTCCATGAGCGACAAATATACATAAGTTCAGAGTAAATACATATACAAACTCAACACATAATTAATATACAAAGAAGAAGAGAAATGAACCACAAATCTACCGGTTTATCAATGCCAGTTGAAGAGCAATCCACTCTGGATCATCCGTATGCAAGCTTCAATGTTGTTTTCTAAGCTAATCCTATCCAAAAATGAAGGTTGATGGGGTTGGGATAAAAAATGCCCAAAACTATACAAAAAAAATATGTTTTTACACCTAAATACGCATTTATGACTATCCAGCATCGCTCGACGACCAAAAAGCATTGCCCGGCGACCAAAACAACATTTCTCCTATGCTACAGCTCGCCTAGCGTCGCTCGACGACCAAAAGCATCTCCCGGCGACGGATGATAGAAAGTT